AGAAATAAAATCAGAAAAATGATCAAAAAATTGATTTATCACATGATTAGAAAGTGATCGAATAATATATACAAAAAATGTCCAGTGCGCACATAGGACATGTCGGATAATATAAAGTTTATACTATGATTACTTTAGAATTTGTAATTGTTAAATGGCTGACTCTGGAGGCTTATATTACATAATAAGTGTCGGTTCCTTATCCGTCATAAGTTTTGGTTTATAGAATGTAAATTGTATGGTTTTAGTAATAATGAATGCCACGTTTGCTTCACTTTACGTGTATTGATCTATTAATTTTTTGCCTATTTATTAATTTATGACCGTTTTTAGGGGAACTGACACTTATTACGTAAATATAACACCCCCTCCAGAGTCACCCATTTAACAATTACAAGTTCTAAAGTAATCATAGCGTAAACTTTATATTATTGGTTATTTTAGAGCTTGCAATTGTCAAACGATTTATTATTTTAGAACTTGTAATTGTGTCAAATGACTAACTTTGAGGGGGTTATATTTACGTAATAAGTGTCAGCTCCCTACCAGAACAAAACTTAACGCAAAAACCAAACATATTCAAGTATTAAACCGGAACTTCTTTTACAATAAACCTATTCTTGTTCAAATTCAATAGTTAGTAATAAAAGTTTTTTTTTCAAATCTAACGTAATAAGGCAATCTTGAACAAAAACGTCCCTACTTATCTTTGTTTCAATATAATTTGAGATTGTCCAATAAACGGTCGGTATATTTTATCTTCTAAGCAAGGTCCGTTGGTAATAGGATCATTTTTAGATTCTTTTGCACAATGAAAATTAACAATGGTCCTTTTTAAAATACAAGTTCCCCGTTGCAGCAATTACTCAGAGAGGCAAGTCACGGGGAAAATTTCCTATTTCTGGTTAGTCATGAATAAAAATAGACCAAGTATTCGTTAATTCGTATTGTTTTTTTAAAGTTATTTTTATTATCTTCTAACTAGAGATGGAAACTTATATCCCGTGACTTGCCTCTCTAAGTAATTGCCGTAACAGGGAACTTGTATTTTAAAAAGGACCACTATTCTAAAGCTATGAATAGTTTTTGCGACGATTTTTTTTGTTAGCAAAAATATTGTGTTACAAAAAAGTACTTTAAAGTATATAAATAAGTTACCCGGGTAATTGATTTAAATCAGCCAATCAGACGAATTTCCTCCTATGAGTCTTTTGTAGGAAGTGTCTAAACTTTAATAGCTAATAAAAAAGACAAAAAATATTAATTATAAATCAACAATTGTTTAGATGCATTAAATGTTTGAGCTTTAGTACACGTTTTTTTTTAATTTCAATTTAAATTTTTTTTAAATGTACTGTATTTTAAAATCAATAATTATAATAATGCCCTTGTATTCATTAAATTCATTGTCAATAATGATTATTTGTGATTTATTGTAATAACTTAGGTTCATAGACTACATAATTTGCAAGTATAAAGATCGTTTATTGTATCAATTTTTTTTGTTAATTTAGATTGTATGTATGTTTAAATATTTGATTCAATAATTCGTTCTCAAACAGACGGATGCGGGATTTTAACTTTCAAGTAATCGAATACTGTAATGTTTGGATCAACCTATACATTACATATTATACGTAGCATATTTTAGCATATTGTAATACGTGTGTATATATATTATATGTAGCATCACGTTATTGCGCAAATACCAAAACCATACAAATATCAGTTTTATGTGGGTCTTCCAATTACTACATATTGATCTACATATTGATCTACAGATTGCATAAATCGTATTCTTGACATTTTTATAAATTTTCTCTCTAAAATGAATCAAAAAAGTAACTTCTAACCGGCACGGCTTTAGCCGTCCCAAAAATAGAATTTTGATTTTAAGGCAATAATAAATTAAGGACTGCATAATGTATACGATACGTAGATGTCTTTATATATTTAATACATGTATGCACATACATCGTTTGGAATTTGATGACGAAATCCCTTTTAACAAACAATAATTAAAGAATTATAATCGCTTTTGTTGTTAAATTCTGGTTAATCGCTATCGTTATATTTAGATGAAACGGAACTTTCGATACAGTTAGCTTTAGATGGAACAGAACTTTCGATACAACTAGCAACCAATTGAATTATAAAATTAGATCAACCGATTTATCTGATTTCGGACCCCATAATACAAACAAAGACAAAACAGGAAAATTATTATTCCGGTATTAAAAGCCAAAACCTAAATTGATTTTAACAATACATGGCATCTACCAAATGATGTAAGATAAAAACATACAAGTTATGATGAGTTAGGTTTTTATATTAAAAGACATTCTCAATAATTATACTTTAGTAAATAAATCCAATATCAGTTTTTATAACATTTCGGTACATAAAAATCAGTATTATGTGGTTACGTCGAGCAAATGTATTACAGCAGTAATTTAAATGGTTCCCAAAATCAAAAGTTCCAAAGTTTCACAAATACAAATGTATTAGCACACAATCGCCATTTACGTCTGCCTTGTCATCTTTCCATGACAAATAAATGCTAAAAATACCGAAATAAATTATTAACAATGTTTAATATGTTAATTTTATATTGAAATGTTTATGTGAGAATTATTTTGCGGAACGTTAATAGACCAATAATGAATATCTAGGGCAAGTATATAAATTGGCTCCTAGCTGGTCTTTTTTTAATTTGAGCAATCTTTACCGACCCTGTGTCCACCAAATTTTTTCCCTTCCGTGACCTTAACTTTTGACATACATTCTTTTGTCAATGAAGTATAAGGCAGGATATACCCTTCTTGGTCTAATATGGCTTGGTCTTTTAACATATACCACATCAACACCTTTACTACCCGCACAGGATCATCATTTAGATATTACTCCTAGAGATCCACACTACCACCATAAAAGATACAAAAAGCATAGACCATCATATAAGAAGTTTTTTTATAAACCTAACAATAAATCTTCCAAGTCTGATTCAAATTCACAACATTCAGATTCACAACCCGGGGACACATCCTCCTCTTCCTCTACAATAAACATTAATAAACCCAATCCCACTGTTTTATCAACTAATCCTACTGGTGCATCAGCATCATCTGGTACTAAACCAACTGGCACATTAAAATCAACGGGTACTTTATCCGCACAACCTAAAAGTACAAACCCACCAGCAAACCTAGCTTCAGTAGATGCTCTTTCTCCCAATATTTTCCAACCCTTTTTACCGCTTAGAAAAACAAATGGGCCAGTAACTCGCAAATATACATTTACATGTAAAAGAACTGAATTGGCTCCCGATGGTTTTACTCGTGTGGTGTGGGCTGTAAATGGACAGTAAGTTATTCATTCTCGTATCAGCCTATTAAAAAAAAAAAAAAAAAAAAAAGTTGAATTTGGTTTATTTTCTTTTAAAAAAGGTATCCTGGTCCAATTATTCGTGCAAACAAAGGTGACAAAATGGAAGTAACAGTGATTAATGAATTTGGTGATCCAACATCAAGTAAATACTCCCTACATAAAATATCATTTTCATTTAATTTAAACTAACATAACCTCTATTTAATCCAAGTTCATATGCATGGAATCTTTATGAATAATGCTACATGGTTCGATGGTGTTCCTGGAATGTCTCAATGCCCTCAGATAAGCGGAACAAAATTTACATATAGTTTCGATGTTAACCAATACGGAACTTATTGGTATCATTCTCATTTCGTGGCTCAATATGTTGATGGATTGAAGGTAAATAATTGAAATAATTGAAATAATTGAATGATTAATGAAATATTATACAAATTCAAATACGCTAATAACAATTATTTAGGGTCCAATCATCATTCATGATCCGGATGATCCACATCTAAAATCATATGATTACGAATATGTGATGACTGTAAGTGACTGGTATCATGACCCAACCGGAAATTTCATGCCCACTTTTCGTAGTGGTGAGTATGATGTTTTTCTATTTCTATCTTATTTTCATTACATTATTAATTTTACTTATAATTATTATTCGTAACTTTATAGTCAAGTATCGAGGCAATGATCCTGTTCCTGATTCTGGAGAAATTAGTGGTGTAGGGCGTTATGATTGTAGCAAGGCAGAAGGTTCATCATGTAAAGATAGAGGATATGCTGTATACAAGGTCCAACAAGGCAAAAAATATAGATTTAGGATAATCAACACTAGCGCCATGGCTCATTTCACCGTTTCTTTTGACGGTCATCCGATGACAATTATTGAAGTCGAAGGAACACATGTCAAAGAATATACTGTTGAATATCTTCCGATTAACATTGCTGAACGTTACTCCGTAATTATTAATTGCAATCAGACAGTTGGCAATTTTTGGATCAAAGCACTTATAGCTCGGTGTAGCATTCCCTACAGACCGGGAGATCCTCGTACAATCAACTCTAATTCTGCCATAAATTACACCGTCTTAGGTATCCTTCGTTATGAGGGTGCCCCTGAAAGTAATCCACAATCTACTGGGTTCAGGATTCCTCCGCCAAACTGTTATGATCAAGATCCAAGTACTTTGAAACCATACAAACCTGAACCGCCTCCATCAGGTGATGTCGAGACTATTCCTTTCACGGTCGATGTTAGTCTTTTACAGACCTCCAACCTTTTAGCTGCAACGGTTAATGGGCAATCATTCGTACCGGATTTCTCTTATCCGACGGTAAAAAGACTTAGAGATGGCATGGATCCTAGCAGATTCCTTGTCACGGATAATGCATATGGATTTAATATCTCTAGTGGTTCACCAGTTGAAATTTTGATAAGAAATGATGAAAATAGAACTCATCCTTTCCACTTGGTAAGTTTTGATTAAACTACACATGATACGTCAGGAAAAACACTCTAATTATTTATCTACAAATTAAGCATGGACATGCGTTCTGGGTCGTTTGTGCAGGCGAACCTGGATCTAATACTGGAGATCGATCAAGTTTAAGTTGCAATTATGATGATCCTCCCCTGCGTGATATAGTAACTGTCAAACCATTAAGGTAAAAATAATAATATAATAAATCTTTACTATCATATACTGCGATTATGTTATTATGTCTAGCTTAAATAATATATAATATGCACGAATCTAATTCCATATTAATTAATATATTTTTATGCAGTTTGACAGCAATTAGATATATATCAGACAATCCAGGAGTCTGGGCTTTCCATTGTCATATTGAATGGCACGTCGAAATGGGAATGGTTGCTCAACTAATAGAATCACCAGATTTACTTAGAATGCAACTCAATGACATGCCCGAAGAAGTCTCACATCTTTGCGACCAATTTGACAACACGAATGGACTATCTCATGATCCTTCTATGGAACCATCTGAACCTGATCCATCAACGGAAAATGTTGTACCAGATAGTTCACCAGATACATCAAAACAACCGGATGAAGATTCATACACACCACCGGATGATTCATCAACACCACCAGACGATTCATACACACCACCGGACGATTCATCAACACCACCAGACGATTCATCAACACCACCAGACGATTCATCAACACCACCAGATGATTCATCAACACCACCAGATGATTCATCAACACCACCAGATGATTCATCATACTAAAAAAAATAAGCGAGCTAAAATAAACATATTTTATTAGATCCTTGAGTGATGGAAGTGTATAAGTCATACTAATGAAAATATTCATTAAATCGCAGACATAATTAATAGCTATGCATAAATTATACAAAGACTTTATAGAATATATTTATTTGTTTGAGTAATTTGTTTAGATTTATTTGTAGCTATTTTAATCTAATTTTTATTTAAAAAAAAACCATACAGAATATTCGTTTGCCTATGTCCATAGCAATATGTTCCTAAGTTTCAACATGAAAGAATAAAGAGTTGACAATTGTGCAAACAAATCACTCGCGCAAAGAGAAGAAAATATATTATTTTTTCGAACATTATAAAATTGCAAATTTCTTTCTTTTTTTTTTTAATATGTACAGTATATAAAAATAGAGTTAATTTTTTTTAAATTTTTAATTATCTTTTATAGGTATAACTTTAGTTTATAGTTAAAAAAAAAACTTTTTTTATACAATCTATAACATTGGTATTCTCACCGGTGAGGTTTAATATTTAAAAACCAATATGATAATTAATAAATTGAAATAAATTTGATAAGATCTTTTTATTATCATTATTGCTATTCATTGCCACGATTATTAAAATAAATCTAGCTGTGAAAAATATTTTTAACTTCATATATGAATATCTATATCTATAACTTATTATTCATTCCGCTTTATGATTCTACAGCTATGAAAAATAATGCTGTATTTTGCACCTCGTGCCATTACGGAACTTTGGACCAAATATCAAGTTTTGGTTAATGTATTTTTTGATACGTTTGCTACATGAAACCTTAAACATTGGTTAGTTACTTCACTTTGTACTTTTTGTTTTCGCAATTTCGTCCATAAGGTTTTGTTTGTTACTTTGTTTTCATTCGTATAACAATATATGTATTGTATAATATCATCTTGTTTTACATGCTCGTAAAAATATAAAATATATTTGTTTTTTTTTTTTGCTCAATCGAATTTTCCGTAGTACTTGCTTAATTTGTTAATAGTTTTTCAGTATAGGCAAGTGTTACGTACGTAGATATTTTTTCATGGGACAATTTCGGACATTTTTAGGCATCTAGACAAAAAAAGATGAATGATTTTCGTACGTTTGCTTCGTGTAATATCACGGACATCAATTTCGACAAATGTAATCAAAATATATTTTTTTGATTTAGATGCCGATGATTTAATTTGATTTTATTGGTCAAAAAACATTGATATTACGAAAATCATTCCTCAAAAAGAAAATTTTCATTAAGAATGGGTTAGTTAATTTTCTAATTACGTATAACGATAAATATTTATATCCAAAAGTAATATATAATCATACATTTTGCCAAAAAGGTTTGAACATCAAAAATGTACAACACTGATAGAAATTCACCGGCGTACACTTGTTTGCACGAGTGATACAAATTCAAAAAGGGATCGGATAACGTAAAATGTGATTATTCCGGATTAGTCTGACGCGTGAAAAAAGCGAAGAAAAGCACAAAAAAAAAATGAAAAAATGAAAAAACCGAAAACACAAGAAAACGATTAACTGGGGCATTAATTAAAAATGCTGTGAATGAAATTTTAATATCGGGATTAGATTATTTCTACGGCACCTAACTTCAACGTCGTAATCCTAAAGTTGTAATTTCACGAACTTTGTTTATTTTTATGTTGAATTCCCTTTTTGGTGTTTGTATCACTCGCACAAATAAGTTTCCAATTCATTCACGTATTTACCATGCGTAAGTACCGTAAACATGATGTTTTATTTGCACATTGCAGTACTGCTGAATTGCAATACTGCTGAATTGTGAGATGTGACCATAAGCAAATAATCAGGAAACTTATATGTTGCGTAACATAAACTTGTGGGCGCAAACATAAATTGAGGACAAGCAGCAAATTAAGTTACGTTCTTGACATTTACATTTAAAAATTCATCACAAATCCTTCGGGCAATATCCGAAAATAGAAGTGCCCCAGTTTCGTGCTAGGTGCGTTTTCAATACTCCACGAGACACGACTTACGTAGCATATTATGTGAAGTAACAAATATAAACATAACTCCGGTTAATATAAGCATAACTCCGGTTGGAAGGCCAGAATTGACCAATTTAGCCAAAATTTTATTAATGAAATCTTAGTTTCTCATCAAGTAAAAAAATGTCCAGCTGATAATTTTTCTATAGACTGTATTGCTAAATGCCGGCCTAGTTCCGATTCTCTCCGACCCGAATTTCGGGATCCAATTTTTACAGGCGGATTTAGGCCAGCATTTGTCAACCATTTGTGGGTCAAAATTTTCAGCTGGGTAGCTCTACTTAATGATAAAACTTTTATTGTTCTCGGGCAAAATTAGTCAATTTCGGCTCTGCCGATTATGATCCTGAAGTATACTGACCCGGAAATATAAGATTTATAAGATTATAAACATCATAGATCATAGTACATGTTTCTTTAAAGAAATTATTTTTTTTTATTTTAACTACAAATAAACAGAAAACAAAAATAAATCAAAAAGGCAAATAATAATAATAGATATGAGAAAAACAAAAAATTAAAAATAAAATCAAAAAAAATAAAAAACTTTCATGTCTCATACGATGGTGTTACCAGATACGTATATATCTGATATATATTACCAAAGT